CCACCATTGTAAAAGTTTTTGTATTATGTAAAGAATAATATGTTAAGGAAAAATTTGGGCCATCTACTTTTTACTTAATAAGTATGTATGTTTTCATAGTAAATTTTCTAAATATACTAGTAGAAAAGAAGCTATTACACTTTTTTTGGGTATACTACTCGATTAAGCAAATTTGAAGGGAGACGGTCTTTTTTAATTTGCAAAATTTAAACAAATTTTTATTAATTATATTATTATTCATATATATTTTAATCTTTTTAATCTTTTCACTCTAACCTCCTTTTGCATGTTTAGTTATAATTAGGGGTGAGCACGGGTAGCGGGTAGAACCAGAACCGGGGGTAAGAACCGGAACCGGAACCGGAACCTAACCAGAACCTGCACTGTGCGGGTAGGTTCCGGTTCCAATTTTTTGGAACCGCTACTGTGCGGTTCCGGTTCCGGTTCTTACCCCCGGAGGAACCGGAACCTGTAAAAAGGGTACCCTGTTGGGAACTGTTTTGGAACCTGTTTGGAACCTGTTTTGGAACCTGTTTGGAACCTGTTTGGAACCTGTTTGGAACCTTTGGAACTTTTGGAACCTATATTGGAACCTGTTGGAACTATTTAGAACCTATTTTGGAACCTGGACTATAATGAAATATTTGTGAAATGTAAATAATGGGGGAGTTTCTATATTTACTATAAAAAAATTTAAAATAGAAAAAGTTAAATTTTTAGAATAACCAATTAAATAAATATACGAATACAATTATACTATACATATAAATTACACCATATTAAAAGCTTAATATATATAATACATTAATTAAAGTTTTGATCATATATGAATAATTGGAATTAGATCCAATTAAAGTGTTTTACATTTTAATGTTATTAAAAGAATTATTTTTGAATAAAATAGTATATTTGATTGAGTAATAATATATTTAGTTATTTACTTCAATTATCAAGTTCTAAGTATATCTATAATAAATTAGTAATTAATTAATTATATATGATAAATTGATAAACATTAATAAATTTAATTACTAGTTAAATTCATACTTAATCAATTATAACATTACATTATAGTTAAATGATACTTAATAATTATAATTTTATACATTACTTAAGATTTTATATAATAATTATTAGCATTACATTAATTGAATACTATTAATAATGACTTTATATAAACATTAGTACAAAATTAATTAATGATTAAAAAATAATTAATTATAATATTACATTAAAATTTATAGTATGATTATTTAATAGTTAATTCACTATAACATTACATTATAGTTGATTATATTAATTAATTATACAACATAATTAAATAATTACTAATTGATTATGAGTTATGATATTATGTTTTAAACATAGTAATTACTAATTTGCTACATAAACATTAACACAATACTTAATTAAATGATAAGAAATTAATTAATATAACATTACCTTATAAACATTTCATTATAAACATTAATTAAACATTACATTATAGTTAAATAATTACGCAATTAAATTATAATATTATTATATTACATATATATTATGATCACTTACTTAATTATAGCATACATAGTTAATGATTAATAATTACATAATAGTTATGAATTTATAACAACTTATAAACATTAGTAATTTACTAATTTACTATATTAAATTACTTAATTAAACGATTAAATTAATTAATTTAACATACCTTATTATTTAATAAATTACTTAATCAATTATAACCTTCTATTATAAACATTAGTATATTAATCAATGATTTGAAATTTAATTAATATATATTAAATATAGATTATAGTATTGAATTTAATCATTTAACATTACATTATACTATATAGTATGATCATATAATAATAATAACATTACATAATTAATAATTACTTAATTAATTATGAGTTATGATATTATATTTAAACATTAGTAATTACTAATTTACTATAAACATTAGACCAATACTTATGAATGATAAGAAAATAATTAATATAACATTATCTATAAACATTTCATTATAAACATTAATTAAGCATTACATTTAGTAAATAATTACTCAATTAAATTATAATATTATAAATTACATTATATATGATTACTTACTTAATATAGCATTATACAGTTAAATGATTACATAATCTTACTTAGTTATGAATTTAAACATTATATTAAAACATTAGTAATTTACATACTATTACATTACTTAATTAAACGATTAAAATTAATTAATTATAACATTACTTTAATATTTGTAATATGATTACTTAATCAATTATAACATTCCATTATAAACATTAGTATATAATTAAATGATTTGAAAATTAATTATAATATTAAATTATAGATTGTAGTATGATTACTTAATTCATTATAACATTACATATACTGTTATAGTATGATCAATAATTAATATAACATTACATAATTAAAAATTCTAATTGATTATGAGTTATGATATATATTTTAAACATTAGTAATTACTAATTTACTACATAAACATTAGCACAATACTTAATAAATGATAAGAAATTTAATTAATTATAACATTATCTTATAAACATTAATTAGCATTACATATAGTTAAATAATTATCAATTAAATTATAATATTATTATATTACATATATATGATCACTTACTAATTAAGCATTATATAGTTAAATGATTACATAATTACTTAATTAGTTATGAATTTATAACATACATTATATATTGTAATATGATTACTTAATCAATATAACATTCCATTATAAACATTAGTATATTAATTAAATGATTTAAAATTAATTAATTATAAATTAAATTATAGATTGTTAGTAGATTACTTAATTCATTATAACATTACATTAACTGGTATAGTATGATCATATAATTAATAAACATTACATAATTAAATAATTACTTAATTGATTATGAGTTATGATATTATATTTAACATTAGTAATTACTAATTATACATAAACATTAGCACAATACTTAATTAAATGATAAGAAAATTAATTAATTATAACATTACTTATAAACATTAATTAAGCATTACATATAGTTAAATAATTACTCAATTAATTATAAAATTATATATTACATTATTATAATCACTTACTAATTATAGCATTATATAGTTAAATGATGCATAATTACTTAATTAGTTATGAATTTATAAACATTATTATAAACATTAGTAATTTACTATACTATTACATTACTTTATAACGATTAAAATTTAATTATTATAACATTACTTATATTTGTAATATGATACTTAATCAATTATAACATTCCATTATAACATTAGTATATTAATAAATGATTTGAAATTTAATTATTATAATATTAAATTATAGATTTGTAGTATGATACTTAATCATTATAACATTACATTATACTGTATAGTATGATCATAAATTAATATAACATACATAATTAAATAAACTTAATTGATTATGAGTTATGATATTATATTTTAAACATTAGTAATACTAATTTACTACATAAACATTAGCACAAACTTAATTAAATGTAAGAAATTAATTAATTATAACATTACCTTATAAACATTAATTAAGCATTACATTATAGTTAAATAATTACTCAATTATATTATAATATTATATATTATATTATATATAATCACTTACTTAATTAAGCATTATATAGTTAAATGATTGCATAATACTTAATTAGTTATGAATTTAAACATTACATTATACATTAGTAATTACTATACTATTACATACTAATTAAACGATTAAAAATTAATAATTATAACATACTTATATATTTGTAATATGATTACTTAATTATTATAACTTCTATTATAAACATTAGTTATTAATTAAATGATTTGAAATTTAATAATTATAATATAAATATAGATTTGCAGTAGATTACTTAATTCATTATAACATTACATTATACTATTATAGATGATCATATAATAATAACATTAATAATAAATTATTACTTAATTGATTGACATTATATTATAAACATTAGTAATTTACTAATTTGCACAATATTTAATCGAATTATTATAATTTATTAATTATAACATTATATTATAAATTTATGGTATGATTATTTAATTAATTATACATTCATATAAACAATATTATAATACTTAATTAAATGATTAACAATTTAATTAATTATAATATTACATATAATTAAATAATATATTACTTAATTAATTATAACATACAATTTACATTGTAGTATGATCACTTAATTATTATAACATTACAATTTACATGTAGTATGACATTATTATTATAACATTACTTTTAATATTAATTTACTAAATTATATTTGGTATATTATAAATAACAAAACCAATTATAACATTAAATTAATAAATTATAAACATAATAATTATTAACTTATCAAATAGACCCCTGGCAATGGCAATGTTAGTAATTAGTATTAAGAATTGTTGTTTGTTAAATGATTTGGTGAAGTTATTTTGTGAATTGTGATGAATAATTGTTTGTATTTTGGTTTTGATTGCGAATTTTATGTGAATTGTGATGAATTAATTGAATTCAAGCGTTGCTAGAGATTACAGGTTATGAGTTACATTGGACACAAATGAATGAATAACGAAAATTTGTTAGGGGTGTATTTGTAAACTTATAAGGTGTTTTTGTTATTTTTTAAACTATAGGAGGGTAATTGATTTTTACAGGGTACCCTGGAAAGGAACGGAACCTGCATTTTAGGTTCCGGTTCCTGGAATTGAAGAACCTGTACTGTGCGGTTCCGGTTCCGGTTCCTTTTTTTGGGAACCTGTACTGTGCGGTTCCGGTTCCGGTTCCCGGAAAAGTGCAGGGTACCGGAACGCGCACCCTAGTTATAATTAAGTTTGTCACGTCAAATTTTTTAATTTTAAAAGTTAAGGAAAAAAAAAAAAAAAAGCCCCGATTTTCAGGGTTAGATTTTTAAAATCCGAAATTGGGATACCTGGGGAGTTAAATTTCCTCAGTAATTCTCTGTGGACTCCTCAAAGCGAAGGTCTAACGAATCGATGCCTTTCTTTCAAAGACCAATTACTTCAATTTTCTTTCCTTTTTCAGTTTTTGTTCTCTCAAAAGTTAAAATCACCATCCATCAAATTTAACGAACCCAAATGAAATGGTTTCATTTGCTCAACTGAGTGAGGTGAGATTGATAACCAATGGATTCTTCAAATTCTATACAGACGGCGACCGCGCCGATCCCTGTTGATCTGTTCGTTTCAAGAAACTCTGGCTTACACGTGGAGAGATCGGGTTCGCTGACTCCTCCGGTAATATTGTTTTCAAAGTCAACCGTCAACTTTCTGCTAAAATTGTTGTTCTTAATTCCATAGGAAATCCTCTCGTTTCCTTGTATCACCAAAGACGAAGGTTCTTCTTTTCTTCTTTTTTATTTTATAACTATTGACTCCCGTGTGTTCAAATTCTCAAACTATTTGTCAAATGTTTCTGAAACTAATTAACTATATAGAAAATAAAATTTCAGTTTGTGTAGAATTGTACTATAAAATCTACAATTCTGACCATTAAAGCGGCCTATCCGATCGGAAGAGCCTCTAGATTTCAATTTTTTTTCATTAATTAGTATAATTTCATTCTTTAGTACAATCACTGTAATTAGAAAATGTTATAGTTGTGCAACACTATGCAATTTGTTAGTTAAAAATAATTAAAGTGGTCTATAATAAATTTATAATCCAATGAGTGCGCTTTGAGTTGCAGAAAAGTCTTTAGTGGGATGAATAAACCGTGTCATTATACTGATTAGTTACTTGAAACTTGACATTTGCACATATGCATGTAATGATGGCTACAACTAGAGTATAATGATGTGGTATGCTTGTCTTGTTTAAGACTTATTAATTACAACTATATATGATATGCAAGATAGGATTGTGGGGCGTTTGTGCAACATCTCAGCCTATTGTCAAGGTATTTTGGATTTATCTCTTGCCTGCCTCAAATAGTGGGCTCTGAACCCCACTATTTGAGGTGGTTAAGAGATAAACCCACAATATCTTGACAGTGGGCGGGGGGTATACAGTTTGAATCATTGAAATAAATAAGTATCCTTATTCGGTGGTTCTAGAGATAGGATATATAAATGCATTGGTGTAACTATGTTTAGTAAGAGGAGTATTATATTAGACGGTTATGCATTTTGGCCATGGTAGATAGTATTTAGTTTCGCTTAGTGATTATTTACCACATATTTGTTTATTGTTGACAGTGTTAGTTAGCTTGACAGCATTGGAATCTGATTGCATTTTGGTGTCAACGGCTCATAGTTGTTACCAATTTGTTAGAATTGCATCGTTAAGCAATTTCATTACTAATCTTTCTCATGAATTATGCCAAAGTAGGTGATCATGCTTGGCAGATAATGGTTCATTATTTTGCTGCTTTGCGGGTTCTAAGAAATTTTTCAAAGTTAAATTGTTTGGGTAAAATGAAGTAATGTGATATGTTTCCTGGTTGTAGAAAGGATTGTGGCAAGGTTTTAAGGGGGATGATGGTGGGGAGAAGGATTTGATGTTTAGAGTGCAGAGGATGCTGAATAGACTTACTAGAACTGAATTTGACGTATTCCTTGTTGGTGAGAACCAGGAAGAGTCCACCTCTGATGTCAAAATGAAAGGTTTTCCTTTCCGAAGATCTTGCACCATCTTTAAAGGCAATTCTATAGTGGCTCAGGTATGTATGATCAATGTTTGATACAGCATGATGTGTTAATTTAGCCCATACTGAGTGAAAAAAAAAAAAAAAAAATTGGAATATGTAAGTCATTTTGTCTGTTATTAACTGCGGCAACAGTTTTAGAACTCTTTCATCATTGTAGAAAGCTGCTTTTCTGAGCAGTAATCTATTTCGAGTGTTTGGCTTCCTGGCAGAACTAGAAATAATTGTGTTTGATAAAAAATCATATAATTTTAAGACTTCAAACTTCACTGAGTTGATATTATGGTTAGATGTTTTGAGGATTGCAATGGCCACCCCAATTGAATTCCAAAATTTTAGAATTTATACAATGAACTGGCTAATTGGGGTCCTTTTTGTTTGTTATATTCATTTCATGACTTTTCTCTTACTGTATTTTACCCGAAAGTTTCCGTCTTTTGCTCACTAACAAGTGAGATACATCATATTAGTTTCTCTTTTAGTCTGCATTATCATGGATCTATGTTTCAGCCTTTAATTAGCCGTTCATATCTCATTCATCCATCTCTCCATCTTCCTTATAAACTTAATTGCTAGTTATATTATGAAGTCAAATGTATTTCCTGCAAGGTTTCGCAATGAGATGTATATTTAATGAAATCCAGTCAGTTAATTGCAGGTTTAATATATTGTACTTGCATCATATTGTTTTGCTTCGTCCATTCTAGAAATTCATTTCATGTATCATAATTCTTACTATCAAATCTAACTCCAAATTCATTTCACTCCATCAAATTCAAGTCTCATCATTGATTTTCTTCATTTGATGCAGACTAGTCTCATGTACAAGCTTCATCAGATTTATGCCAGAAGGAATAGATTTCGACTAACCATATTTCCAGGGTCTTTTGATACAACTTTAATTGTGGCTTTGGTCGCAATATTCTTTGACTGATGATTAAAATAATGGAACTAAGAAGTGTTTTATTGTACCTTTCTCCACATTCCACTTATACACTTGGGTAAAAGGAAATGTATGCATTTGTTCTTATGAACCATCTTAAATGACTTCAAGTTTGCAATTTATTTTTTCCATTTTCACTTTATCTTAAATAAATTTATGATATCCAATAGTTTAAATCTTGAGCGGGATATTGAGTAGCGTTGAAAGCTTTTTCATTTGCGAAATCCCTTTCCATGGAGAATTCAAAAAGTTTTTTTGTACGACAAATAACGAATAAAAGGTTGGAATAATCCGAATCAGCTTGACTCTGAAAAATGCATATTGAATGAAGAGAGAATCGATAATGCCATTAATTGCAGCTAAGAATTAAACAAGATATGTCGCTATTTAAACAATTCTTATAAAAGCATTTTTTTTCTTTGTGAAGGAATAGAAGTAATTTATATTTGTTTACATAGTTATGATAAACCTTCAAAAATATTTTTCTTAAACAAAGGACGGTCATGCTATATACAGACTTGCTTGAAAATTTAGAGAATTAAATAGAAGTTGAAATATCTAATAACTCCAATGTAAAAGCTTCTACACTGTAAATGGTTAAAATAGGCAATGCAATGGGCTATGGGGTAAAAGGTTTTATAGTCTATAAAATAAAAAGTTGGAAAGTAATGGGGGGATAGATAATCATGGAGGTTATTCAGCCCCACTCATTTTAAGCAGCAGCTAGTTAACTGATTCATCCCAACAATCTTTTTATTCTTCTCATCTATTCACAATTGCTTATTTACAGTATAGTATTCTTATTTGGCGGTCTCTGTTTTAATTTTACGGTTGAAAATGGTGGATTCATTTAGTTTTTTTTGCATAAGTACAAGACCAACTTTGAGAATCTCAAGGCACAAGTTGAGAAGTTGAGCCTTGTCAAACAGCGTGTGCAGCATAAGATTTAGGTTGCTGAAAGAAATGGAGAAGAGATAGAAGATGACGCTGTGGAGTGGCTGATTAGCGTGGACATTCTTATAAATAAGATAAGCATGATAATTGAAGATGAATGGGAAGGAAAAAAGAAATGTTTTAGGGGGTTATGTCCTAATTTCAGAACCCGCCATCAGCTTCGTAAGAAAGCAGAAAGGAAGGTTAAGGCTATGGTTTTACTCATGTCTCAAGGAATAAATTTCCAAAAAATCTTCCCCCAACCATTCCAGAGGAGATTTACAGCTCGAGCCAAAATCCATTTATTTCTCTGCGGAACTATAGAAGATTCAGGCAGAGGCCTTCCGCAACTTCAAACTCTTGACGTCATTGAATGCAAGAATATGGAAGAGATTTTTGTTATCAGCAGTGAAGATATTGACTGATAAAATTGAATTACGTCATATATCCTCCTTGACTCTAAAATCACTTCCACATCTCAGAAGCTTAATGAGGTTCAGTGAGCTACTTTCCCATGAAAGGGTAAGTTAATCATAACATTTTATTCACTTTTCTTCTTCTCCATTTATCAATAATTATTGGAAAAATAAATTCCTTAACCCTTGGAGGATATACGTTGTTGATGCTTGATTTTGACACCAACTATTTGCACGTGAGAAATGCTAAGCGGACTTAGAAGTCACATGTGATTACGGGAGTATTGGTGGAATAGAGGGTGAAGAACAATGTTTAAAGTGGTTCGGATGCTCAAAAGGTGAATCATATATCCACTGATATCGTATTAATAGGTGAAGTCATGTCGCGTTTATGAGCGGAGTTATAGATTAGAGATACAAGGGCAGGAGAGAGAGAGAGTAGAGAGAGTATACTTTAGAGATCCAGAAGTCTTTTTCTGGAAATAAGTGCGCGCTTCTTGTTTTTTAAGCGAAATTGGACCCTCTCTTGCGGAAGGTTTCTTATCTTTTGGCACCCAATATTTGCTGTTCTGCTTAAAGCGACGGAAGTAAAATTAGCTAATTCCACAAATGGGAGAGAAGCCCTCTATTTATTGGGATGAATTAGGTAATGATACTAAATTTGCGAGTGGGGTAGATGCGTGCAAATCCTTCTCTGCGTCCTATTGCTCAACCTGCCCGAGTGATTTCCTCGACTTGGCTAGGGATTGGAGACGTCGACCATTTCCAGCCTTTCGCCGACCTAGCGCATACCGTTATACTAGCAGGAGCATGCTACTCACGTCATCACGCGACGTGGCTCTTTCGAGCGGGTGTGTAACTTTCTTAGCTTGACCACCCATGCTGACAAGGCTCGGCGTTAGCCCTATTTCCAGGCAAACAGAAGTCCCCTAGGTTGTTTTAAGGTTTGAGGATCAAACTTCAGCAGAACTGACACAATTATGCCTTGATTTTGATATGTGCCAATGACTCCAGTATCACATCCGATCCTGGCTGCAAAGAGGTCCCAAGACATTTCGAGATATGGCGACATTGAAATGTTCGTCTTTTGCAGAGTCTGCGACCTAGACAAGACCTTATTCAGTGCCATACGTGACTCTTAATTGATCGAGGTTTACGACCCTTTATACTTAGCGTATTTTTTGCTAAAGGCACGGAATCACAACGCTTCACAACTGAATGCGACGAAGGGTGTTTTATCTAACGACCTCTCAGCTTGGCAAGCTAATACATTAATGAGAACACCTTTTGCTCTGGCAGACGTGTCCTATTGTGAAATAAGTGCCAACATGCACATTAAATGTAAGTCATACTGAAATGACATTCCTTATCAGACCATTAAATGCGGATGGGAGGCTTTTACGTGGAGCATGGGACAGCGACCGTCGCTTGATATTCAACGGGGAAGTGATGATTTGATTTTAGAAGCGTTCGGTTAGTCTTTCTCACTGATTGATGATGTGGTCGCGATCAATGGTGAGAGGTGATTTTTCGTTCAAACGTACTGACTGGGTTGACAACCAAGAGCCACTTCCTTCACTATAAAATCTAGGCTCACTCAAGCAAGTTCACAATGCTCACTTTTCAGAAAGGGCAGAAACTTCTTGAAACTAGATTTCTCTCTTTCAGTACTGGTGCACACTTGACCATCCGAGCAAGAGGTTTCAATCTTTATACTCAGAGGTAGGATGATTTTTTATTACTTTCTTTTTTGTTTTTGATGAAGTCATGTCGATAACGGTGAGCGTTGATGGTGGTTGATTCAGAGAATAGCTTTTCCTAAGTTTGAGTCTGGGGGTGGCGCCCAAGAATTCTTTAAGTTTTTCTAAGGTTTAAGGAGATAGGTTTACCTTTTCTTCCACGTCATCGTAAGAAGCTGTGTACGACGACTGAGTATCCTGCATATCGCTCTTTTTCAGAATGACAAAAGAAAAAGCCCTTCAGCAACCAGCACAGTGTAGGATTGAACACCTGCTCTCTATACTATTCTTATAGTTCATACATTAAAATATGATATGTATACATATGAAAGATAGTGGGCTCAAATTTTTTCTTTACTCATAAAATATAATTCTTTACAAATATATAAATACTATGTATTAAAACTTTTCTAATTTAATAAATATCATTCTAGCTGGTAGACAGTTGGAGTTGCAAGTACTCATCCGCTCCTCGACGGCCTCGACCGTTCCTATTCTGCAAATACAGAGAGAACAACGGGTATGAGCAAAACAATGCTCAGTAAGTAAATCTCTACACCTGTCCCCGAACTCACTACTTTGTTCTTTCGTACTTCACGTTTTCTATTTCTAATTCTCACGTTTTCTCTCTTCTTGATAAACTTCTGATCCTCATTAACTCGTTTTGCCTTTTTATTCTTTCTTTCTCTGTTTCTTATTCTTGTTCCATTCTGATCCTTATCACCATGAAGAAAAAAATCATGGATTCTCTTATTCTCATCATAATACCATGAAGGAATAAAATGGTACATGCCTGTATGAGTGTAGTGAAATATTTACTCTCTATTCTTACTAGTCCAACTCTCTCATTCTTTCTTATACTCTCTCACTTTCTATCTCCTTCTTCTCAGCTTTCTATTCTTTAATTATCTATATTATCATTCTCATTCTCATAATTCATTTCTACTAACGCGCTCTTGAATGTCACGGCCCATCTTACCAAAGGCACGGCCGGGACTTCTCCCACTCTACGTGAATTCTACTGATTCTCTTTCTGTCTCTCTTCTCCTAAACCTTTTCTGTTTTAACTTCTGTGTAGCGTTACGGCAGCATCTTACCGGAGGCACGGTTGGGTACTCATCCACTCTTCGTACCCTACTCATTGTCTCTCTTTATATTTCTCATGTTGCTCATCTCTTTTTCAGATAGTAATCATTAATATAGCGTCAACTCTTAGCTTTTCTTCATCTATGTTCTCTTCTGTTTCTGTTTCTCCAATTCTTCGATACACAAGAGGGTGTATGTCACGGCCCTCATTTACGGAGGCACGCTTTCATGACTTTACTCTTTTCTCTTTTGTTCTTTCGATTTCTATTCTTCTCATTCTTAATCATTGGAATGTACAGACCTATCTGACGGAGGCACGGCTGGCGCTACCACTTAGTGGACTTCGCTCATTTCTCTACCGATCGGATTTGGTCATGCATGGATTCGGAACTGGCCATGTGAGTGTAACGACTTTTCTCTATATTCAAATGTCAACAACTTCTTACCGAGGCACCGCGGGAAACTCATGTTCCACTCTACGTGACGGTCACGGCCTCATCTAACCAGAGGCGAGGTTGGGATCACAAAGCACCACTCTCGTGGACTTTACTCATCACTCACAAGTTCCCCATCGCACAAGCTACTCTAATTCTCTTCTTTAACTCTGTGCACAAGATCTCTACTCTTTCTCTCAGCTACTCATCATAATGTACCTAAACTCTACATAATCCTACTCTTTCTCAACTTTTTCTCAAGTTCTTCTCCAATTGCACACTTAATGCATATGTATGGTTCATGCTCATTAGCCACTTAAGAAATGTCAAATATGCAATGTTGACAATAAGGTCATAACTCATTCTCATGCTTCATCTTAGGCAGTTCATTAACAACCAT